AGGGTGTTCAAATTTTTCTTTTTTTTTTTGGGACCTCCCATGAAATGGTCTGAAGGTGTTAACATGTTTTTGGACAGCCGGTGTGTTCCACGGATTCCCAGAATAGGATCTCCATTCCGTTAAATGAGTTTTGATGAGTCAGTCGGTGTGAAAGTGAGTTCCTACCTTCTCCTTTTGAATGAGTAGTTCATTAAGAGATTTCCCTTGTGCCCTTGTTTCCTAAATGGTTTCTACATACAATACCCCAGTTTTTGGAACATTGTATTTGACTTTTTCTTTGCTCAATTGTCTTTTTTTTTTCCTTTTGCGTGAATCAAGTTTACTGGTTTAAAGGCATGTTATGGTATCACATATTCACAGGGATAAGAAAAGTAACTAATTTTATGTCGCCAGGATTTCAAAATATCACCCTGAATGTTACAGTAGTGAACAACGTTCTTTAGCAAATCTAAGCCATAAAATAGTTGCTTTTGGAAAACACTGCTTCAACAGAATTTGCAATCGGTAGTCATTTAAAATGCTCTATAGACCTTTTTTTTTTTTTTTTTTAATAGTTTGAGGGAACTGATCAGCTGGGTTATAAGGAGTCATGTACATGGATGTTACATTTCTGATGTGTTTCTTTATTTCTTAAACTATTCAAATGTGCTTCCCTTTACGCTTTCCTGGCTGCAATAAACAATCACCTCACAGCCGTTGAGTCATGGGGTGATCATTAGTCCAAGTTCTAAATCAAGTTTCAGTCACAGGGTCTTAGGTTTGTCATCCTGAAATCTATAAATTAAATGTATCCACACCTTCTGAAGAATATTATCCATTCTTTACATACATGTGCCCTTCATTGAGACTTGTAACTTTCCCTGGATGTTAAACGTCCTTTTGTTTGTCTGTGCACAGTCATTTCTGTGTGCATCTTAAATCAAACTTGTTTAATTGAGTGACATCACAAGTTGTGGAAACCAGTCTGAAGATCCCGGAAGTGTCCAATGTGCATGCTCCGCAAACACACAATGGACTTTTTAAATGAAGTGAGAAAAGAAGCAGTTTGTATAAAAGTGCAAAGCATGTGTCTTCCATACTATCATCCCCTCAAATGACCATCTTTTACCAGATGGAGACAGTCTATTCTACTTAAAGCTTTGAACTGCAACCTTTTAATCTCTAACTCAAGTATGGCACTTCATAAAGGTTCGTGTTTGCATTGAAAGTGGCTATCAAAGGGCCCAAAGCCTGAATGTGCAGCAGAGGTTCATGTTGCTTCAGTTTCCTGCTCCAGCAAACAAATACCGGTGGATTAGATGAGAAGAAACAAGAACAGGAAATGAAAATAAAACTGGGAAATATATACATGTTGCCAAATGACTACTTCCTCAGTCCGTGAAGGAAATGTACACGAACCCGACAAACTTCAAAATGAAAAGGTGAAATACACTTGAAGTGAGCTAATAGAAATATTAGAACACCAACAAGGCTGCATTCGCTTTCAGCTATAACTAGTTTAATTGTATGAATATACATATATGGGTCATTCCACAAAAAACGTGCTGTCACTCACTTGTACAGACACTAAAATCCATGGCAAGTTTATTCATCTAATATTTAATGTTAGATTTTGGCAATGTAATTACAAAACTAAGCTCGAGGAATTTTCTTTGTCACTTATCTTTCATGGAAGTCGAGC